TCCTCATAGTGATTAATTAATCTCAATTAATATTTCTTTTTATTGTCCTTCACTATCCTACTATTTCTCCTATATCTCAAGAAAATTATATCTCAAACCTTTAATTTTCTAAAACATTTGTTTAGTTTTTGCTATGTGAGTTACTGGGTAATATTATAATGTTCTGTGATGGAATGATTTGTCTGTATAGTACATATAAGTGACTATTAACTACCACATGTTAAGTTGAAACTTAAAAAAAAAGGAGTAAAGTTTAAATTAACAAAAGACATGATCAGTAAGTCTGGTAATGATATTAAATTGTTCTAATGTGTGGAAAATTTGAATGTGGGAGGAAGATTTAATTACCATATAAAATTGAATTGTTATATTATATGTAGGAGTATTTTGGGGAGTTAGTTGTTGGTATTTTGAGTTATGGGCAGGGAAGGAAGGCATAGATAGTCTTTGTTTGCTGTTGAGGAGGAGAGTGTGTATGGTCAATCATGGGGTAGTGGATTTCTTAGACAGTAATAGTGTGAGATTTTAAACTTTTTCACTAACTGGATATTGGGTAGGTGTGCTCAACATGCAATAAATTACCACATTTATCTTGCCTAAGGATGTTGTTCATGGCTACATGGAGGAGCAACATAAACTGCTTGTTACATATTTTGATTAGGTTTTTAATACTGTATTGTAATTGTCCCACATTAATACATGCAATGTAATACTCTAACTGTCCTCTGCAGCCATCTTAACCCTTGACTAATAATTAAACCACATTATAGTACCCTGCACTGTCATCGTATATACGAGTGCAAGTTCGTCATTTGAGGGGTTAATATGCAGTTTCTTTTTCATCTCCTACTATTACTGTACCACAGCTCAAATATATATTGAACTGTTAGTGTAATAGTTATGTTTATTCTCTTTTTCAATATGATATTACTTTGCTTTGAGAACATAATCTCCTTTAGCTTTTTTTCAGTTCTATAATGTTCTCAATGTTAAGTTATTGGTATATTCACTATTAACCCTTCTTCTGATTCAAAGCTTAGTGGGCTTAGCGTTTCACCACGCCCACATAGTATCACAGGTTCCCCAGGAGTGCCAATTGATTGTTCTTATGCTCATTCGGTCTCTTCTTGTTAACTTATAGTGTCTCAGATCCTGGTAACTGTGAGCTATGCGGTATTTATATCTCTAGTTTGTTTTGTGTTAATTAATTATGAAGTCGTTATGTCTGAAAATTGTTAATGTTGCTTCACTTGTATTGTATTCTGGCTCTAATGTACCATCACTACCATACATTACTACTGTACCATTACCCACCATACATCTACTACTGTACCATCACCCACCATACATTACTACTGTACATCACCCACCATACATTACTACTGTACCATCACCTACCATACATCTTCTACTGTACCATCACCCACCATACATCTACTACTGTACCATCACCCACCATACATTACTACTGTACCATCCCCACCATACATTACAACTGTACCATCACTCACCATACATCTGTACCAGCTCATAGTCAAGCCAACACACATCTTGCAGTATTTCTATGCAGTACATTCTTGTCATGGCTGGACTGGTACGTATAGATCTTTTATTACTTTAAAAACCTCCGTCTTTGGATTATTATTAAGTGGAGAATTCTGGGTGTAGAATATCTCGGGTCATGCCAATTGTCATAAGTTTGGTATGTTTACTTATTCTGCTTCTGTTTGTGTACTGTGCATTATTATCCTCAAACACACATAACACACACACATACATACAAACACACCACCTTACACACAGTTCTTACACTTGTCTTTAATTTGTTAGTTTGGTTAGATTTTATATGAGCAGTTTTTAAAGATATATGTATATATATATATACAGTATATATATATATATATATATATATATATATATATATATATATATATATATATATATATATATATATATATATATATATATATATATATATATATATATATATATATGTACTGTATCTATACAGTCCAGGAAGTACAGAATACAGTATAATGTTGGGAGTGAGCCAGAACTTATATGGTGAGTCATTATCTTGTGAGAAAATATTATCATGTGAGTAATGAAATTGTCATTTTGTCATTCACACTTAAAATACTTGACGATTTGAAGTGTGACACATTTCCAAAAGAAATTGTTGATCTCTGAATAAAGCATTTTGTATACTACAGTGACTGTTGGAATTGAGCCTGCAGGACAGATGGGACTCGACTCACTGCTGTGGTCGCTAAGTCACTTATGTTCATACAAGTGTTTAGTGGTTGACAGATTTGCTCAACCGCTGTATTCCTAAACATTAACATCAATATTGTAAGTGCAATTAATAAAATGTACTTTGTATAAAAAAATCTGTTCAAAGCATTTCAGTGCTAAAAAGATTGTGCCAATATGGTGGTTTTGGTTGATAGCCTCGCTTATGTGAATAAATAACTAAATATGCTATTACTTTAACTTATTTTAATTTCTTCATTATTCACCATTCCTTAATAGACAGTGGAACAGTTCCTCAGGAAAGGAAATGAACTTATTTATCTGGGAATCGGATTAATGGTATAGTACTGTGCTATACAGGTTCCCTCTGAGGTGAAGATGGTAGCAGTGAAGAGTTAATCTGTCCTTCATTTATGGTTAAATTACAGCAATCGTATTTCTTAGTGTGTGTGTGTGGCGAGTGTTTATCGTGTAGTCTGCACACCAAGAATGATGGTATGGTGAGCCTCGTCAACATGAACATCAAGGAGGAAATTAACACTAAATGAGTTCATTTTTTTATTCAGGTGGGGAATCATAACAAAACAATCAAAATTACAGTAGAGGAAAGAATTAGTTTAATATTTATGTATGGAGAACAGATGCTACACAGTGATCAGTTGCAAATGAATTTCATCAACAACACCAAAGTACATCCTGGCTGGTGAAGTACATTATAACACTGTCATTGCACACTGTTCATCCTCATTACTAAAGTAGTATTTCTCTCTTTTATGAAAATTTTGACTGAACTGTTTCCACACACAGCTAGTTCAGTCAAAGAAATGCAGTACTGTACACAATATTTAATGTCTTGAGGATGAAGATTTTGTTCATCAAGGCCTTCAACTTGGTATATGATAAAGGAAATACAGCTGTAGTGATGTTCTTCGCTGAAGTTATGTCAAAAGCACATTTCAAAAATAGCCGAGGGGTTTTGAGATTTGTATTAGACCATAGTTGGGTTGCTGAGCAGCAGTCATCTCCATGATGGAAATGAAAAAAAAGCAATGCAAACAAAACTGGTGGGGAGATAGAAGGAACAATGAGGAAAGATTTATCGCATTAGGTTTGAGAGCATTATAATGGAGGAGAATTAAAGGTGATCCGCAAAGGTCATAGACAGTGATTGTAATACTGTACTCCAAAGCTTTAGAGCGAGTGACCGTCTGATCTGTGAAGCTGTTGTATATATTCATAAATACAATAAACAAATATTTAATCTCACTTTAGTGTAATTACATTGAATATGTATCTGAAAACGTGTAAACATCAGTATTTAGAAATTGTCTGTTGGGGTTTAATCTCTTTGCTTTAACGTCACCAGAACGTTGTGTTCATTACGATTCTCTTTTTTTAAAAAAACAATCTAGTGTACTTATTAATTTCATGGGTTTTGGAGTGGACTTTGATCCGGTTAAGCTGTTTGATTAGATAAAATAAAATTTCAAATTTGGCGCGAAAATATGATCGCACCATCATAAATGAAACTACAGTAGTATAACACTAATAATGAAATAAATAATCACGATTTTATTGAAGAAATAGAATTACAATATATATAGAAAATAATTCATTATATGTATACTTAACTAAATTAATACGCTAAAAAAACGTATGTTATTCTATTTTAGAATTGTATTGTTTATCCTCACACTAAATGTTCCTTCCGTTGTAAACTGTGGCTGTAGTCGCACGTTACTCCGGTTCAGCGCTGATTTTTAACAATTATCTCGACCGGAGATTCCCAGAATGTTCTTCTGCATATATATATAATAATGTAAAGTGATTCTAAGATGTTAGGTCAGTCAAATGGGCTAAGTTAGTAAGTGATGTGTAGTATTTATTTGACACTGTTAAAACACGTCTGACACCACAAGATACAGACAATATTTATCCATAAAATCGTGTGTACTGTGTTGGTGTTACAGATAATAGTTACAGGGTAAATTTAGTACAGGTTAAAAATGTAAACTTAGTACAGGTTTAAAATGTAAAATAAGATTTGTTTATATTCTGTCCATTTTAGATATTACTTGGCTCCAGTTCATAGCCTCTTACAGAACTATACTAACTTGGGACGCCAGTGGACTAAGCTATTAAAAAATGAGAATTAAAAGCTGCAGTAGGCTTATCAGCTCATAAGGTCACCTAACCATTACCACTCACGTATCTGTCCAACCAAAACTTCCCAATGACTTCGAGTTAATGAAGGTGTTTGGTAACATGTTCCATAATACATAATTTTATTTCCTAATTCCTTCATAGATCTAAATTTTTTCCAACATAAAAATTCTGTATTTTGAAATCACACTCGGAAATTAATTCAAAGACTGTGGCCATAATATTACCTTAATATCTTATCAAGACTGGTTAATGCCGTGTCCAGCTCTCAATTAATTTTACAAGAACATCTGGTAGGCCTAACTTAGATCAAAGACTCCATGACGATAAAGTAAGTTTGAGGTGACAGACACAAACCTAACCTAACCTCATTATCTTAGTCATGTTTTAGTTTGTATCTTATATATGTTTGGGTCCTGTGAATTTGTTCTATAGCCACTTTAAGCTCATTATTTAGCCTAGAACAATAATTTCTCTGTCATAGCTATACTTGTGATTTTTCTTTGTACACTTATTGCACAATGTATACTGGATACATACAGTGCTACTGATTTTTAGTTGCATTAAACGGTGATGTTTTCAGAATGGCTGCCATGTGCGACAAAAGTGACATGAAGGGGGTGTGATGGGCGACGGCGCTCCCATCCATCGCATTCGCATTACCCTCACCTCCAGCACGTCAAGTCACTGGAGAAGGGTGAGTTACTTACAGTAGCTACATAGTGTTTGATGAAGTCAGGACATCTGTGTACAGTACAGAAGTCATGTTCACTCACCATATTGAGTAGACTATACACAACAAGCAACTGTTGAGTATTTACACATTTCCTTGGTATTTGGCAATACAGTACATTATATAGTCAAGAAAAGGTTAGAAATTTATATAACATACTGAACAGCAATGTCCCAGCTGCTATTGGCCAGGGTCATTGTTTGTATTTTACTTCTCCAGTTAAAGTTTACATAACTTATTTAAGTTGCTCCCAAAATCTGTGGTCAGGTGCATTAAAGTTAACCATGAGTGTGGAGCAGAACCACCTGAATAGTGCAGGGGTTCTGAACCTTCCTCGGTCACCGCACCCTTGGTCTCTGTGTGGGATGTCGTGCAACAGTCATTTACTCTTATTAATTTATGTATCGTCCAAAAAAATAATAACTGGGCATATTCTGTGCTAAATATTGTATGCCCAATATACCTTTGGCTCCTCAAAATGCAGAACCATTGGACTGGTAATATAAGCAACAGTTACAAAAGTTTTCATGATATTGTTTATTAGAAACAATAGTTTAGAATTATTTTGTGTACTGTGGTGTAGTTTAATGTAATTCACATTACTCTATGTGCTATAATGGAAAGTTTGTTAGCTGGTAACTTATTTTCTATGAGGGCAGTGATTTTTATATATTTATTGTATAGACTTGAAAATACTATTTATTTTAATCTAAGATGACAGATGGTGTATGTATTTATAAATGGCTCATTGAATATTATACTGTACAGTAATTGAAACTGTTTATTAAAAACTGCCTCTTAATTTAGAAAGCGTGTGCTTTTATTTTTCCATAATATACCTGTATACAGTATATACTTGGCACTTGTATCAACAGTGTGCTCTGAGCTTGTGAAGGGAACAAAGGACAAGCAGTTGAAGGTTAAGGGACCAGTCCGTATGCCCACCAAGACATCGCGCATCACCACCCGTAAGACTCCTGCGTTGAAGGTTCAAGACTTGGGATCGTTTCAGATGAGAATCCAAAGCGTGTCATTGATCTCCTCCCCATCAGAAGTGGTGAAGCAGATTACCAGCATTAACATTGAACCTGATGTGGATGTTGAAGTAACCATTGCAGAATAAATCTACCTGAAGATTGTAGTACATTTTGTACTTTTTATTATTCCAGGATCGTAATAATTCACCTGCTGGATAACCATGAGCAACATGACCTGATAACACCAATCACTGTATTTTCGAGCTGAGATATATTATGGTTTATTGAGCATGAGAGGAGACCTACATCAAATGTATCCCGTAACTTAGTAACTAGACATGCTGTTAAATTTCCTGATTTCAATACAACTTGATAAAAGCAGAACAAGGAGTATCTGACGAAACATAGATGATGGTGCAGTGTCACAATACATTGAAACTGAGTAGCATTTATCTAAAGTAACAATTAGAATGAAAAATATTTTCCTTTTATTGTGCCCATATTTGTAAATCACATAATATTGAAATTAATTATTTTGTACAGTATTTCATAATCCGATACGATAGGCTACGTTTCTCCCAGCTCTCTCAGCTTCCTTTATTCCTCAAAATTTGGAACATTGAAGTAATTAAGTAAAAGGTACATGTGTGACTGTAAAATACATAATTGATTTGAGGAATTGGTGGTGTTATCAGGGAGAATGAGCATCTTGGTTGACTTCATTTGAGGTGTAAACTATGGTACTGTAAGATGACTTAGGACCCCCAGTACACTTATCATCTTACTTGAGGAAAATTTTGTGATTAATGTGTTTGTCAATGTACTCAAAAGGCTTTCATCATACTCAAATATTAAATCTTTGTACCATGATGTGCCATGATGTTACAAACAGCATACAAGGAAACAATCTTAGGAATGAGTTTATGCTAGACATCCTGGAATGTGATATTGATACTATTACTGTAAATATTATTTGGTGTTGTACCTCAGAAAGACTCAAAAGTTAGTTTTGAAGGATACAGAAATAGGGAAATGCCTAGTATGGATAGAAGGCTTTCTCTACCATCAGTAAATGAGTGGTTATCACAGGCACAAATCCGTCATGTGTGCTAGTGACAATTACTGTGCTTAGACCAATGTTATTTATTTGTTTAATGAATATGATGCCAGATGCTATTAGTCCATACAAATGTTTGCAAGTACTCTAGCTTATTTGGAGAAATAAAAAGTAACGGACTAAGAATTAAAATAAGATTTCTGTCCTGTCAGAGTGGTCAAAGATTCAACATTAAATAAAATGCATTAGTATGCATTTAGTCATACAGTATCAGTCATAAGGAGGAATATAACATCTTTAAGTGAATAAAGAACTTCAACAAACTAAATGCAAGGAAGATCTGGGTGTTTATGGTGATATGAAACTTAGCTCTTGCATCACTGGTGGGACGTGGACGATGGTCTACCAAGAGAATAGACTTTTAATTACATATTTATTTTATTGAAGGTTAAAGGGATGACAGAATAGAAGTCTATAGCTACCTGAAAAGCAGCTATTCAGTCAAATGTACATATTTGAAGTTGGCAGGTGGCTGCCCGCTAGAGGTCAGCCCAAAGTAGAAACTACAGGTACTGTACAGAAAACTCAGGCTTAACGTCTTAAATTTGGATTAAAAGTTGTGGAATTATTGTAATAACCTGTCGTGTTCCGGGTTACACTGGACTATCGCCTGCCGGCTTAGGAAGCGATAAATTTTTTTTCAACACATTTTGACATTTCGATTACGAAACATGTTGAAATAAAACAAATATTGTGACTGGGCATTAAAATGTCAAGATCATTTTGTTGTTAAACTATTACTGTATGAAATATTTGTTGTTGATTTGGCAAGGTAATATTCTTACAAACGTTTGAGGTTGCAGTTAATTATCTTAAAAGTAGTAAAATAAAGAGTTGTTACTCACGATTTTATTATAGGGACATGTAACAAATAACCTAGATGCACGGCGAAAGACCTTAATTGTTGAAGCGAACATAATAACGTCAGCATAAAGTTATTATATTAATGGTCGCTGAGTGACGCCGCCCCTGCGCACACCATCAGGAGAATGTCGATTGTAAACAAAATGGCGACGCGCAAGTTCACAACGGAGGGTAAGATTGTCATATTAATCACACTTAGATGAACTCAGGTCTGTAGATACATATATTTAATTGTAGTATATTACAGAGTATTAATGGAGTGAGTGGAGGCCGAAGAGAGCAACACGAGGAAACATAACCGGAAGTAAAGTGTTATGGAGGAGGACGCGGCGCCAACCACACAGAACTATGTCTCTCGACTGGTCGTGGAGGTCATAGGTATATCTTGGCTCCAAACATCTTTATTTACTTGATATTCATAAATTGTAAAGGACGTTTGGTGGCGGAAGATGAGATAACAAGTCTTTAGTCCTTATATAAACAATGCATGTATACAGTACTTGAATTAATGAATATAAGGACCTGTACACCATACCTATATTTATAGGTAGTGCAGGTATACAGTTCAACATATGTATATAGACAATGCAAGTAGCTATACAGTTCAGCACACACGGACTCTCTTACCCCAAAGATTAATGGTCCTGAGATAACTCGTTTGATTAGCCTTGAGAGTGACAGTGGAGGAGCAGTACTATAGCCTCTGTTGGTACTATATTGGGTCCTATAAGATTTTTGCCTATGATATTATTGACAAAGAACGTCCTTGGCAAAGTTAATTAACAATAGAGACAAGATTGTAACAGGTAAACTCTATTTAAGTGGATTTTATTTGTAGCGGTTAGTTACTAATATTTGGTCTAAATTTGATGCTTAATTTAGTTTGTAATTATGTCTTCTGAAATTTATTACCATATATTTTATTTGTAGTGTAGTGTGTATTGTAATAATTATAATAAACGGTTTATTAATAGAGTTGCAGCTGTGGATGAAAATATTCAAACTTACATGTGATTTAGGCATAATGATATGCATTCAATAGATTTACAGAGCTGTACAGTACATAAATCAGGAGTTGTTTATTATTTTAACAATAGATGGGATGGTGCTATTCTTATATCTATCGAGTGCGGGCTCTTATGGGCTGAATTTTGTTGTAGTGGCGGACTGTGAGGTTGGCAGGAGGTGGCGATGGCAAGATAGTGCAGTAGTCCACTGCAAACCTTGCTAGTATTGTTGTGTTGGGGTGACTAACAAGCTACCATTGGATTTATATATTTATTTATTTATTTATTATTTATTATTTTCCAGATGTAGAAGCTCACATTCAAGATATTCAGAACAGAAAACCAACTTGTCTGAGTGCCACCACCACCAGGCGGTCTCTCCAAGGATGAGGAGCGAGTGAGGCTGGACGGAGGAGGATACTTTGACAGTGATATTTATGATATTCAATGGGAACAAATATCTGTTCAGTCCATTGGTGTGGATGACCTGGATGTGAGTATTGTACAGTAATTTTATACAGACTTAATTCTTTTATTTGTACAAGTGTATTGTTAATGACTCAGAGAACCTGTAAAGCTCTGGTGTATGTTTTGTGTGAAAATAGTTCATCAATAATCCTTTCTTTCATTATTTTGTATAAACATAAGTGAAAACGTTTTATCTATTTAACATAGAATAAATCTTGTGATTCAAGGTAATATAATGAGACATAATATTTATGCATTAATCCTATAAAGTTTATGTTTTGGAATATATAAATATTTAATTGAATTTTGAAGAGATTTAGGTTTGTTGTGTACTTGTCACTTAGGATGAGGATGATGACGGGGGGACCACCTTGGGAAGAAGGGGAGTAATGCATACACGCTCCTCAACTCTTCCTCAATGAAATGGTAAGTAACCAGAGAAATACTGGTGCTGCACTGTACTTGGTGAAAATGTTTCTGACTTTTCCGTTCACTAAATAATGATGGTATACTGTATATTTATCAGCTTGTGTTGGGTTTGGTTGTTAATCTACAAACTATCCACCGTTCCATGAACAATGTATGAAGCAGCTACAAGCGGACTGTGTGGTGTGTGTACTGGGTAATACAAAGTTGTTTCTGGACAAATTTTATTATTAGGAATTTGGTTTATAATTTTTTTCTCTTTAACTTAGAATTTACATCACAGGAAGGATAATTATTAGATTTGAGTAACGATTGAGGAAGATGTGTTTTATATGCTAATTCAAGCACCATAACAAGACAAAGGAACAAGAAGAAATGTTACATTGTTTCATAAAGTAATATGTAAGCTTCAATGGTTACTGAATGTTATATTGTAATTTACCTGAAATCTCAATGGGTTAAGTCAGTTTATGTCATGAAATTCACCATCCATGAAAACTAACATCTATGGACCCTTTTCTTATACAGTTGACCTTTTAGATGTGGGTTACACTGTATATTGAAGTTTAGTGCTGAAACCCTCTTGTAATACTGCAGTTTTTCTTTCACCTTGTTCTCATTTGTAATTTTCAGACCCATGATAGGAAAAATAGTCTACACTGTTGGTTAAGTTCTTCTCAAGTTCTGGTATCTAGGCAACTATTTAGGTTCATCGTTTTTAGTACATACTCATTGACATCCATTTAATTGGTAGGGTTGTGTAAGGAGCTTTTAAACTTTTGCTGGACCTCCTGTATCTTGGGTGTTTCAAAATGTGTTTCCTCTTCCCCTCTTTCTTCACATGCTGGTGGGTAACATATTTTTATCAGTTTTATTTCAATGTCTTATTCTTATAGTGAAATGTGTTAGCTACAAGTTATGAGTAATATAGAAACAGCCGCACTCTATGTTCTTAGTTTTCTTTGATGAGTGAAACATCTTCTACCTACATAGTGATTACTGTACTAATAGATAATGTGTATGGCTGGCAGTGTACCTAAAGATTTATCACCACATTTTATTTAGGATCATTAGAGTTTTGTGGGTTTATAGTAAAAGAAAGGTGGTCAAACGTCCATCTTGCACGCTTTCATTTCTTAGTGTAGACAGAATTAGTCGAGCAGTCATGGTAATTTGTAGTTTGTTTATGTGGTATATAATATTACAGGTTGACAAAGACCATGACCCCATGGCTAGTACAAGAGGCCCACCATTGCTGATCGGAAGATGAATATCGTGCCCGTCGCATCATGCAGGTCATATCCCTGGCGAATGGATCCGTTCGCTGGCCAGTGAGTGGTGGCGCACCTTGCCACTCTGGCTTTGTAAAATACTCATGTTAGGTTGATGAAGGCTATGGCCTGTCATCTCTTGAGTGTGTTGCTTTCTCATGTGGCTGTGTGCAGTGCTTGGTCAGCTGTCAAAAACCACACGCACTCTCAAACTGGTTATTGTAGCCTAATACTTTAGATTTTAAATTAGATTTTGATGAGATACTGAGGCTGGCCTTGCATTGGTGTATGTCTGGATGTATGAATGCACATTTTGTATTTCATATGGAGAAACAAAAATTTACTTAAATTCTGAGATGTTTTCATTAGTGTTATTTTTTTACATATCTAGTATCAACTTTGATACATGTTACTGTAAAAGGTCATTATAAGAAATGGGGCCAATAATGGTATAAGAGTACAGTATCAGGAAGACCACAAAGGCCCATCCACTACTGCTCGGGACCACCGGCCAGGAATCACCACCTCTACTAATTTACAATCTGTTTTCTTCCCCCTGCAGTGTACCTACCTGCTGCCTCCTGTGAAGTTTCATCCAGAGTCATGATCATGAGCCTCTCAAACTCATTAGTTACAGGAGTACATTTCATAGGATCTAGTTTTAGGTTGTACTGATAAGGTCAATATTAACTTAGGATTATGGTGATGTTTTAAACTTGAACATTTGGAATTGTTACAACTCTACTTCAAATTTATCAAACACTTAACTCTAATACAGTACTTATCTTAATTTTTAAAGGGTTAGCAAAGTCTTTAGCTGGCAGTATTGTTGCCATTACAGTATCTTGAAAACAAAACTGTCCAAGTATCTCTATATACTGTACTTTTGTATGGTGACTTGTGTATGCATGTATGCTTTTCATTCACTCATAAATAATAGTTGACATAAACATATTAATTAGTAGTTTTCAGAAAGATTGTCAGTATATGATATGTGAGTTCATTAGAAAATAAGCTTATAAATTCGATATTGAAATTTTAAAAGATGTTAGTTTTATTGGAGCGTAGTGACCAACGATTAATATCCTGGTTGTTGACAAGCTGAATGAATAAACTACAGCTAAGAAAAATAGTATCGCTGAGAACTACATTTAAAGGTGCAGAGAGTTAGGCCTTGATAGATTTATTAGGTGAAGTTGTCTAGCTTCCATAACAAGGTTCACTGTTGGCATCACCTGAAGGCCTCACCACTAAGATCATGACCACATAGTATATTATCACTTTACCTGACTTGGTGCACTACATTCACCCATTACATTGGGAATGACATATTGTTAGTTATTTAATAAAAATCTGTTTGATAAAGGGTCCTGGAGTACTGTATGTGCAAGGTTAACTCTGTAAAGGGGGAAAGGGGTGAAATGTGATAGGAGGCTGAGATTAATTTGAAAGACAGAATTTTTGATAGTGTTTGGTCCATTTATGTATCTATATACAGTACAGTACATGGTAAACAAATATGGATGGGATAGATGTGTCATGAAAAGTTATGGTAACATCTGACTCACATAGTAGTGTATGGGTTGACACCACTTGGGTAGGAAGGGTTAGTAGTCAAGAGGCGTGGTGCCCACCTCACAGCACACAACACTAGAATGACTCAACTCTTGAATACTATTTTAATCCTGGAAAAATATATACAGTACACAAATGTGAATTGTGTGAAAACAAATACTTCGCTGAATATAAACATGCAAGTTTAACTTATTAGTGCAAGAATTATAAACATTTTGTAAGTTAGCAAGAGTAAAAACAATATGTAGTGCATAAACCATGTCATCCATGTATGTAGGATATTGACATGAGGAATACAAGCAACAGAGTTATAATGGTGATTCACCAGGCTAAACAATAGTATGCGATATATATACTGTAAATCTTATTATTTGTCAACAGAAAAAATCACCTCCAAGAATTAGATTTATTCACACAATTCATGTAGACATTGTGCATTGTATTTACTATGCACACAGTCATACAAATAATGAACATCCATACATGCATGTAAAGTATGTATACATCTATACTGTATGTTTATAGATATGCTGGATATTAGTGAAGTTTAATCTTGGAACATTTGAATTGTAGTGTGTTAAGTATTATTTGTCAGATGGAAGTTGATGGTAAACTTTGGAAGTCAGGTTATTTATGTAGTATTGAAATGTAGTTATTGGGTAATGTGAATTTGATGATAGGTAGGATTTAACTCCATGTGATAACAGAAAATAAGTGAAGGAATACTGGCACAGCGACCCTCAGTAACCCCATGTAGAATCACTTCAGTGTTATCTATTGTTCAGTATACTCAGTTTTTTGGATACATGCACATCATAAGGTGTATCACAAGGTAATCACGACAGTACTGTGTAGTAATGACTGGCATTTGGTCACCAGTTTGTGTCATAGTGGTGGCTGCAGCTGCTGAAGTTTTGGGTTATTGTGGGGCTGACTGTTCTTAAATGATGAGAAAAATTAGTAGAAAAAGATGGTAGAAGTTGAAAAGAAGGATAGAAATAAAAAGAGCGAGGCTCCCAGGTAAAGCATCGGAGACGGTGAAAGGAGTAAACAGGGTTATGACAAGACTAAGAAGGATCAGAAAATGGGGGGGCCTGTTTCATTATGTGTGTGTGTTGTGTGAAAGGTACTACAGAAAGCCACTAATCACAGAGATTATTTCTAGGGTTTCTTCCTCCTTGACATAAGGGTGCGGCAGCTAGAGTAATCTCCGGCACTACCACGTCATTATGGCGCCCATGCCCTGGGTCCATGTGCATAGATATATATTTACCGTATATATTTATATATATATATATATATACTAAAGATTGATACAGTTCACTTGAGTGCAATATTGTGCCATATATTAATCCTGTAAAAGGATTGTTTATATCATTACTAATTTATGAATGTTTAAGAATTATGTAATGACAGCAGTCATCTTCATCCTCTATATTGTTAATATATTTTAGGTTTTGCAGTTTTATGTGTTTTTGTCATTTTATTACCTTTGAGAACATGGACTCAGGTGTACAATTTTATCTGCATTTAGTCCACAAGATTTTATAGTGTAAGTTACAAGTTCTTTAGGAAATTGACATGACTTCCATTAACCCCCTCAGCTGCACACTATTGTAGGCACTTCACTTGCTAACTGTATCTCCATTAAGAAGTTTGTGGTAAAGCTTGCACTTCATAATGCAAATTTGGCTGATCCTTAATTTGTTATGTATTAATATATACAGTACAGTGACACAGTATAGAGAGGTCAGGTGGGTGTAGAGTGTTGGTTGTTTAGTTCATCCCACAAGAAAAATTATGTGAAGCAATGAGAGAAACATTGGTAGAAGTGAAGTCAAATGTTAGGTAATATTTACTCAACATATCACTAAGTCAGCTGACAGTTGCCAGAGATTAATAATGAATTAATTTATACCATCAGTGAGCACAGTATATTTGTGTTATAATCACAAAGTTCAGGGAATTTATATTTTATTAAGCCAGGGTTCTCAACCAGGGAAATTTCCCCCTCAGGTTTTCAGAACTGATACTAATATGGAAAAAATAAAGGATTTTCAGTATTATATGCATATTATTTGGAATGCACTTTTGAGGCAGACAATCTTGGAAAGGAGAATGACATTCTGACATATGGTGAAAGGGGTGCATGGGGCAAACAAGGTTGAGAACCACTGTACTATGCATTCCTAAACAAAGGCGTGTATAAAAGTCCGACGGACTGGTACATCTTGAGCCATGAACTGGCACCTGTCTCTGAAGGATAGATTGGGAACCAGTCATCTGGAGGTGCCAATATTTTATTCCCAGTTGTGTAGGGAAGATGAAGCACTACATAACCATAAAGAAAGGTGGGGGAATGAAAGAGAGAGTGTATGATTTAAGTAGCTGGGAAATGATCAGAGGATAAGTATTCTCTTTATTAGCCTAAGTGTTGTCATCTGACTCTACAGTTTGAGCAGCTTGTGTACCTTGGTTGTACATTGCTTCATGACATTACAGTACATGGGAGAGGTTACAAGTCATTGGTTGTGTTAGCGGACGTTATGATAGCTTATACCCGTTACGAAATGTGTCCATTTGAGTTACTGCCAAACAAAGGATGTTCACCTCACATACTTGTACTGCACTTGTAACATGTTGTTTTTTTTGCCACCAAACTGTACATACCGTACATAGATTGCTTTCTGGCATGACCTGCACATTGTGGCTCAACACCCATGGGGGATAGGGGATACTCTTCAACCATAAGTATCTCATGTTGGAGGTAGCAAACGTCCATGTTTATCACCTTAGAATGATTATCAACTGGCTGTATGTCTTGAGAAGTTGATCATTTGTGATGATTCAGGTTCTGGCCCAGTTGGGATGTTGGTCAAAACATTTTATTTTACTAGACTGTGGGTGGACCTGAGTGTTATCAGTTCAGTGCTGTACACAACCTCTATACTGTGTCTGGAATAAGCAACACCTGTCATAGCTGTCTGTCTTGGTTTGTGTGTCATGGTGTTGGGGGTTAATACATTAGTATCTTCATTTCCAAAATTTTTGCAAAGAGATTACTAGTATAATTTAGTCTTTTTCTTTTTGGGTAATATTTTATTAAGTAAATTCTCTTCATTACACATTCACATTTAGGGCATCAGAGTTAGAAATTTAGGTTTTCCTTTAACCTTGGTAGTTCACTACTGATCATGTGGCTGTGTGTATATTGCAGGAGGAAAAACACCGGACATGAATGCCAGAACTTATGCCCATATTATGCAAGAAGCGCGACTTAAGGGAAGAAGCACTTGTAGTACCAATTATAGTTGTTCTTACTCGTTAACTGCCTGCTGCTGTTCTTGTTCTATTCCTCTGTGTGTCTCTATTTTGATGGTAGAAAAACAACAACTAAAATAAATATATGTGTATTTGCGTCGTGCTTTTTTTTTTTTTTTTTTTATTGGTCATGTTTTATGTTGTGCCTAAACAAGACCATAAGGATTCAGGCTGTGTCTTGAGGTTGACCCAGTACTGGAACTCATGTGACCTGTGTGCTGGCCTATTTTATCTCCTGCTTTTACCATTATCCTCCTCTAAAGCTATTATTTTGTTAATTTCAGTACGTTTGCCCATATACTGTACAGGGTGTTGCATAGGTCACACTACTGTACAGGGTGTCTCATAGGTTGTCCACAAAGATTATTACACTGACTCCTTCCTCTAGTGTTAAATTCTCAGCCATCTTCATCTATTAGTTATGATTCCCTTGCCAGAAAAGGAACAAAAAAGAACAGTAATTTTATGACACCCTGTCCAATATTTCTTATCTTTTTTATCAGTAAAGTTACTGACAGTAACCTTATAAACATTATTCCTGTCTCAGACTTCATGAAAAGAAAGTATAAATTTGATTAGGTAATACATCTATGCAATTTATTCAGTTGCTGTTAAAGACAAAATGAACTTCACTGCCTTTTTATGAATGATTATAGTTAACTTCTGAGTCAAAACCTAGTCCCATTGATAGTATACTACCACAATGTTTTACAAATATCTAAGCAAATGTAAGTAATTTTACATTTTCTTTTTTAAGAATCCGAAGACAATGCAAAACGCTCAAGGAAGGAACTCTTCAAGTTGTAGCCAGCAATGGTGATGCTCCAGCTGCTCCCAGAAAGCGCGGCCGTTGGGACAGACAGCTGACGACACACCTCAGCCTAAGAAGAAATCAACTTGGGAAGCAGAAACTCCATCTATTGCTCGTTGGGACGAGACTCCAGGTCGGGCTAAAGGAGTGAGACCCCAGGAGCCACTCCAGGACAGAGTACCGCATGTGGGATGCCACACCAGGTCATGCCACCCCAGGCCATGAAACACCCGGCACGATAAACAGACTCCTTCAGCGTGAAGAAATCGTTGGGATGAAACTCCCAAAACAGATCGAGGGAAACTCCTGGACACAACAGTGGTTGGGCGAGACTCTCGCACTGATCTGTGGGGCAGGTGACCTAATTCAAAAACTCCAACCCCAAGTGCAAGTAAGAGGCGTTCTAGGTGGGATGAAACCCCAGCAGCACAAACTCCAGTTGCCACACCATCAAGAGCTATGACACCTTCAACACCCCACACTCCCAGCATGACCCCTGGGATGATGACCCCAGGTGGTACTCCTGGAGGAACAACACCAGTAGGACCCAAGGCTATCGGAATGGCTACACCATCACCTGGACAACTTGTTAACATGACTCCTGAACAGATTCATGCCTTCCGATGGGAGAAAGTGTGAGGAAGAAATCGTCCCATGACGGATGAGGAACTGGATCGCTGTTTCCGCGGGATATGAAATTTTGCCACCTCCGCGGGGATACGTACCAATCAGGACACCGGCTCGTAAGCTAACAGAGCGCCTACACCAATGATGGGCACAACAAAGGTTTTACATGCAAGAAGGCATGACTCCCAAACATGAGGACTCTCAACCAAGGGTAATCTGCCATTATTAGAACGAGGATGCACAGTACTTTGATAAACTATTACAGGATGTTGATGAGGAAAGTCTGAGTCCAGAAGAACAGAAGGAAAGGAAGATAATGAAACTCTTACTGAAGATCAAGAATGGCACTCCTCCCGTAAGGCAGCTCTCCGTCAGATCACAGACAAGGCCGCGTGAATTTGGTGCTGGTCCCTGTTTAACCAGATCTTGCCACTTCTCATGTCCCCTACATTGGAAGATCAGGAACGCCATCTTTGGTCAAGGTCATTGACAGAGTACTCTATAAATTAGATGATCTTGTCGTCCATATGTTCATAAAATTTTGGTGGTCATTGAACCATTGCTCATTGATGAAGACTACTATGCTCGTGTAGAAGGTCGAGAAATTATCAGTAATTTGGCCAAGGCAGCAGGTTTGGCAACAATGATCTCCACAATGAGGCCTGATATTGATAACATTGATGAGTGCGTCAGAAACACAACTGCTCGAGCCATGCCGTTTGTAGCCTCTGCTCTCGGTATTCCCTCTCTTGCCCTTCTTAAAGGCTGTGTGCAAGAGCAAGAAATCATGGCAGGCTAGGCACACTGGTATCAAGATTGTACAGCAAATTGCAATTTTAATGGGTTGTGCTATATTGCCTCACCTCCGCTCTCTTGTGGAGATTATTGAACAGTTAGTTGATGAACAGCAGAAGTGCAAACCATCACTGCTTTGGCTTTAGCTGCCTTGGCGAGGCTGCCACCCCATCTCGGTATTGAGAGTTTTGATTCCGTCTTGAAACCTCTGTGGCGGTATCCGTCAGCACCGTGGTAAGGGTCTCGCTGCCTTCCTTAAAGCTATTGGTTACCTGATTCCCCTCATGGACGGAGAGTATGCGATTACTACAGGGAAGTAATGTTGATTCTCATTCGTGAGTTTCAGAGTCCTGATGAAGAGATGAAAATTGTACTCAAGGTGGTAAAGCAGTGTTGTGCTACTGATGGTGTAGAACCAGGGTACATTAAGGAGGAGATCTTGCCACATTTCTTTAAGCACTTTTGGAATCACAGAATGGCTCTTGACCGTCGTAACTATCGTCAACTTGTTGACACCACGGTTGAAATTGCTAACAAGGTGGGAACGTCTGAGATTGTGAACCGTATTGTTGATGACTTGAAGGATGAGAATGAACAGTACCGAAAAATGGTCATGGAAACCATCGAAAAGATCATGGCCAACCTTGGAGCTGCAGACATTGACTCTCGACTTGAAGAACAGCTGATTGATGGCATTTTATATGCTTTCCAGGAACAGACAACTGAAGATGTAGTCATGTAATGGTTTGGCACAATTGTGAATGCATTAGGCTCTAGAGTTAAGGCCTACCTTCCCCAGATCTGCGGTACAATCTTGTGGCGGCTCAACAACAAATCGGCAAAATGCGACAACAAGCGGCAGATCTGATCTCGTGTTGCGTGGTGATGAAGCGTGTCAGGAGGAGAAGCTGATGGGTCACTTGGGAGTAGTGTTGTATGAGTACTTGGGTGAGGAGTACCGGAGGTGCTCGGCTCCATCCTGGGGGCCTTAAAGGGCATTGTTAATGTTATTGGCATGCACAAGATGAATCCTCCCATCAAGGATCTTCTGCCCGTCTTACCCCAATTCTAAAGAACAGGCACGAAAGTACAGGAAAACTGTATCGATTTAGTGGGACGCATTGCTGATCGTGGACCAGAGTATGTCAGTCCTCGTAGTGGATGAGGATCTGCTTTGAGTTGTTAGAACTTCTAAAAGCTCACAAGAAGGCCATCAGAAGAGCCACAGTCAACACATTTGGTTATATTGCCAAGGCTATTGGCCCACACGATGTTCTTGCCACCTTACTGAACAATCTCAAAGTTCAGGAGCGTCAAAACCGTGTGTGTACAACAGTAGCCATTGCTATAGTTGCTGAAACATGTTCACCTTTCACAGTCCTTCGGCCTCATGAATGAATACAGAGTTCCGGAACTTAACGTCCAAAACGGTGTTATTAAAATCTCTGTCATTCTTGTTTGAGTACATTGGAGAAATGGGAAAAGATTATATTTATGCTGTTACTTCACTGCTGGAAGATGCCCTCATGGACCGTGACCTTGTTCATAGACAGACTGCTTGTGCAGCCATAAAACACATGGCTATTGGGGTGTATGGATTTGGTTGTGAAAGTGCAATGGTCCATCTCTTGAATTATGTTTGGCCCAACATATTTGAAACATCCCCTCATTTAGTTCAAGCCTTCATGGACAGTATAGAGGGACTCATTGTCGCTCTTGGACCACAGAAGGTAAGATGTGACTGTTTTTGTATTTTTTATGTTAAAAATCAAGTAAAATTCAGTAGAGTAACTGCTGTATTTATTTATTCTATGAACATTTATGTTTTTCTTTTGGCCAAAGCTTGAAGGATTCTTGAGAAACCTCATCTAATCTCAAGTGAGAGACAACATGATGAGATTTGTCAGTACTGTGAACCACTGAGTTTTTCCAGTGTTTGTGAAAGAGTTTAGAAGTGCTGGTACAGTATGTTGAAAGAAAGTGTTGGTGAATTTGAACAAATGTAAGATGATGATAGGGAAAGGAGTAAAGAAGTAACTCTTGATTTGAATGGAATTGGAAGGGAGCAATGTTGATGTTTCTTAGTTAACCCTTTGGTACTCCTGGCAAGATCACAGATCTCAACCCCTTGCAGTCTTTCAATGCAAATAGCATCGTTTACAATCTCACCAATTTACTTGGTCTGTGAATAGGAAGCAGAAGAAGACTTACAGAAGTTAGGTGGTGGTGATGTGGAAATGAAAGAAACTTTAGAAAGAAAGATCTGGTTGAGTAAAAGAAGTGCTAGAAGTGAGGGAGATGAACCTCCAGCAGAAAGTGTGAATGGTAAGAGAAGTATTGGATGGTTTATTTATGGGAATGTTACAGAATTTAAATTGAATGGAAGTGAAAAAGAGAATGTGATTTTATTATTGATTTTGGCCGCATAAAACATTGTGTCATATCGGGAATAGTCTACAGTATAACCCTCTCTCCCTTCCTTTCTCCTTCCCTCTCTCCCCTTCCTCCCCCTCCCTCCTCCTTCCTTCCCCCTCCTTCCTTCCCCTTCCAAAGGAAAATACATATACATGTACAGTACAAGACCTGAAATCTACAGTTCCTTCTACTTTTCTTTCCAGATCCTGCAGTGCGTGTTGCAGGGACTCTTCCACCCAGCTAGAAAAGTCCGTGACGTGTATTGGAAAATATACAACAACCTGTATATTGGTGCCCAAGATGCTCTTGTGGCTGGGTACCCACGGATAACAAACATGGGCAGC